TAAAAAATAAAAATTAGTAAAATAAATACTATTAAAATATTAATATAAAAATATTGATAGAAATAAAAAATAATATTAAACAATAAAATAATAGAAAGTTATGAAAGCAATACAAAAATATTAGTAAAATTAAATAATAAAGTAAAACAAATAGCAAGCAGCTACTCACACAAACTAATGGTTAAAGCCACATTACTCCACACATAAAACACTAAAATTAGCGCTTATATTATTAAACTGGTATTATTGGAATATTACAATTATTGTATAAAATAATTAAAACATTATAATAATTAAAAACTACTAAAATTAATGTTTATATTCTGGTTTGCTGATTTAGCCGACGGTGGAAGGAATAGAGGAGAAAGAAGAAGATTAATACAGGGTAAAATAGGTTTTTCAAAAATTATAAATGGGTATCTTAGTCAGAGACCTAGTGACCTAGATGGTTGAAATGTTGACCTAGTTGATCCGGACAGCAGGTGTTGGGTTACAAATGACAAAATATATTTTAATTTTTAGGTTTTTGTTTTTTTTTTAACAAAATATCGTCTGCTACCTTTGAGCTCATTCGGAGGTAGCAAACCTGCAGAATCATTCTGAGGAGTTCTTAGATTTTAGAGGGTGAGTTTGGAGGTGCTACTGAATGACCCCGAAGCATCGGAAGAAAAAATTTCAGTGTTTGGAGGTCGATTCAGCACTACTGAACAACACCTTAGTCAGAGACCTAGTGACCTAGATGGTTGAAATGCTGACCTAGTTGATCCGGACAGCAGGTGTTGGGTTACAAATGACAAAATATATTTTAATTTTTAGGTTTTTGTTTTTTTTAATAAGACCTATATCTATATATGTGGGGCATCCATGAATATCTATATCTATGAATGCATTATTTTCTACATGTAGTTTATCAATTTTTTTTTGCATGTATAATTAATTATTTTTTATTATTTATTTGTGATGTCATGGGTTGACCCATTTAATTAGATGGTTAAATTGCTGACTTGCCACCTGGAGGAAAAAACTGGTCAGTGTCCATGTTGGTTTTCATAACACTGTTACAAATTACTCCTCCTAACCCCTCCTATGGCTAGACCTTCACCTATATAGTTGAGGTCTGTAATTCATCTTAATAAAGTTTTCATTCTGTAATCTGAATTTCAAATTTCTGACCTTGATATGATGTTGTAATAACCATGCTATGCAATTCTGAAATCCATTTTTTGGAAAGTAAATATAATATAAAATTCAATAAATGCAAAACAAAGTATAACCAAAGAGGTGAAGAGAAATCACCCAATAGAAAGAAAAGCCAAAAAGAAAAAAAAAAAAAGATACAATGCATCAATCACCTCAAATCAGATCCAAAGGTGTCCAAAAGTGATCCCAAATGACTCTCTTGGAACACCAAAAAATTCTGTAAGAACCAAAATCCAATCCAAAATTCTCCTCCAATGGCACACAAGACCAAACTATTTTCACTTTCTTATTCCCATTCAAAACTGGCCATGATGAGAAAATCTCCTTGGGAAATCTTGAAACCCACATAACTACACAAGAAAGCCTGAAGATGTAACTCCGAATGCACTTTGAAAAACCACATCCAACAAATAGGTGAAAAACATCTTCCTTTGCACTGCCACGCAATAAACATCTGTTAGCTAACTGGATCACTCTACATATCATGTGATCTTGGGTAAGAGTGCTGTCCAACATAACCAGCCAAGGAAATGCTTCAACCCTAGGAGGAGCCATGGACATTTTTTCCATGTACAGATGTGGAAATTTTGTGGATATATCACCAATTTCTCCAAGATATTTGGAAAATATGAAAATTCAAGGAAACTTTGCACTTAAAGGCTCAGTTTGGGATGAGTACAAATACAAATATGTATAATGCAAAACCTTGTATGTTGTATTTCTTAAAAATTCAAGGAAACTTTGCAGTTTGCACTTAAGGCTCAGTTTGGAAAGAGTACAAATACAAATATGTACAGTGCAAATACAAGGTTTAGCAATACAAATAATATAAAATACAAGGTTTTGCATTGCATGTATTTGTATCTGTACTCTTCCCTAAGGCTCAGTTTGGAAGGAGTACAAACACAAATATGTAGAGTGCAAAGCTATGTATTTTGTACTGTACATATTTGTATTTGTACTCCTTCCAAGGCTCAGTTTGGGAAGAGTACAAATACAAATATGTTCAGTGGAAAACCTTGTATTTTGTATTTCTAAATCTTGTATTTGCACTTACATATTTGTATTTGTACTCTTCCCATACTGAGCCTAAGGCTCAAAAAACCATAGCAAACAACTGTAAATCAATTAATCAAGTAAATGAACATTAAGAGACAAATAGACATTTTTCCCTCTGTCTCCCTTTTTAGTCTTTAGCCATCTTCTTTTCATTATGTATGTCATTAATTGCCATTTTGACTTTTGTCTTCTTTTCTTACTAGTTTTTGTTAAGATTCCACTTTTGTAGCTGTGTGCCTTATTTCTTTTTCTTTTGAATTACAGTGACTTAGTAACTTAATCATATCAAAATAGTAAGCCAATCATCCAATCATCGAATCCCCATTTGTTCTTTCAGGAAAAGATTTTTTAAAAACTATGGTGAATTTAATGAAATAACAGAAAGTTTCTAATACTTTTTGAAAGCTAAACTATTGTAGCCGAAGTAGCAGAAAAGAGGAGAAGAAGAAGAGATGCTGAAATGTCGAACTTGTCTTCCCAGTCGATAGTACTGTTATTTATATTAAAGTACAGTACAATGTTACATGAAATGATTGGGATGCCCCTGATTAGTGATGGGACACCCAGACAACTTAAAGCACTAAACAGACTTAGGCCCATTAACACAGGCCCAATACATAACAACTTAAATTCAAATACAGGCTAATAAGAACTCTTATCAGCCGAACCATCCATACATACAAAACCTTCAACCTAACACTCCCCCTCAAGCTAAGCATGGATGTCAATCATGTTTAGCTTGCCAAGAAGGTCCATGAACTTTGCTGCAGCCAACCCTTTAGTCAATACATCTGCAATTTGCATCTCAGATGGAGTATAAGGCACACAGAGTTCACCCGAGACAATTCTTTCTCTAACAAAGTGCCGATCAATCTCAATATGTTTTGTCCTGTCATGCTGCACGGGATTGTTGGCAATGTTGATGGCAGCTTTATTGTCACAATATAGCCTGAGAGGACCTTCARCCTTAATGYCAAGTTCATTAAGAAGAGTTCTGAGCCATAAGAGTTCAGCAACCCCGTGGGCCATAGCCCGATATTCTGCTTCTGCACTTGATCTAGCCACTACATTCTGCTTCTTACTGCGCCATGTGACCAGGTTTCCTCCCACAAATGTACAGTAACCCGAGGTTGACTTCCTGTCTCCAACAGACCCAGCCCAATCTGCATCAGTGTAGGCTTCAATTTCAATTCTATTGTTTTTCCTRAAGAGAATTCCCTTCCCTGGACAAGTCTTCAAGTACCTAAGAATCCTTTCAACTGTTTTCATATGAGGGATCTTTGGAGAGTGCATAAATTGACTGACAACATGCACAGCATAAGCAATATATGGCCGAGTGAGGGATAAGTATATCAGCTTCCCTACCAATTTTTGGTATCTCTCTCTATCACAGTAGTCCTCCCCTACTGATTCCTGCAGGCCATGATTCTATTCTATTGGAGTATTTGCTGGCCTGCACCCCATCATGCCTGTTTCCTCTAGGAGGTCAAGAACATACGTCCGCTGACATATGTAGATTCCCTCTTTTGACCTGACAACTTCAATCCCAAGAAAATATCTCAAATGACCCAAGTCTTTGATCTCAAATTCCGAAGCTAGAAACTCCTTTAGTCTTCTTATCTCTTCCAAGCCATTCCCGGTAATTACCATATCATCCAAATAAAAAATGAGTGCAGTAAGTATGCTATCCTGTCTCCTTATGAACAAGGTATGGTCTGCACCACTCTGAGTGTACCCCACTTTCTTCATGGCCCCACAAAGCCTCTCAAACCATGCACGGGGAGATTGCTTCAACCCATATAATGCTTTCCTCAGTTTGCACACCTTTCTACCAAAATCATAGCCTGGTGGAGGTTCCATAAATACCTCTTCATGAAGGTCACCATTTAAGAAGGCATTCTTCACATCCAACAGAGATATTAGGAAAGAAATTTATTGAAAAATTTTGTATCACCATCTCACAGAATAGAGAGATTTGGAGAAATTTTGCCAAATCCTGCTGACATTGTGAACCATGGTACTGCTTACAACCATCACATCCATCTTATAATAATTTGGGAGTCCACAACAAAGTGGTTATCCTTCTACATGCAACTTTTAGAGAAAGAATATATTTGTATTGGTTCAGTATAGGTTATTGTGAATAAACCCTAGTTGTTTCTAGGTCAAAGTAGAGAAGAAGAAAGAAGAAAGAAAAGAGAAAGAAGGAGAGGAGAAGAGTGTTCGGCCAGACTAGAAGAGAGGATTTTCAAAAGTCACTCTCCTACCAACCCACTTGACTTTTATTCATAAAACTTAAGTTACAAGAAAGACAATTTTGTCCCTCATAGAAGATGGGACACAACTTAAACTCAGATACAATAGACATTTCACTTTCAATAAGATACACCAGAATGACCAAAATACCCCTGACTCGAGCATTCTTACAGTTATGTATTTCTCTTCATGGTCTACTGATAATTTCTTCATCAATAGTGAAGGTTCACTATTATATTATATTACCATTATACCCAGACATTCTATGACAACTAGTTTGTTGGGGGGTTATTCAAGAAGCGGATGTTGTTGCTAAACATGTTTACTTTTAGCTAAAAATTAATTCTTTTAGTTGGTTTTGAGACCTTTTCTTGGTATATAACTTATTATAATCTTATTCTTCTATATCAGAGTACATTATCTGGCCTTTTTCTTTTCCTTTGTCCATGCTTAATAATCACATATGACCATTTATCTAAATGCAGAATTTGGCACAAAGGAATCCATCCATATTAAACAAGCCTGGGGTGTCGCTGCTCCTGCTGGAAATACTGAACTACCGTTTACTTCCACTTTACAGGTAATACCTTTTTTTTGGTTTTTCTGTGCAACTGTGAATTTTCTTGCCAAGCAGCTGAAGATTGTTTGAGTGCAAACAGATATGTTAGCATGACCCACTTAAATTCTGAACAAGACCCAAGAACACACCCCCTGGACCCTACAGATATATCAGATACAAACAATTCTTTCCCAACCCTTACAAACAATAAAAACAAGGCCCACTTAAAAGAAGAAAAAAACCAATACAAACAGAACCCAGTCAAAACCTTCTAAGAACATCAAATCATCAAATGTAGATTAGCCCCTTTCACCTAACAACTCTACATCTTAAAGCCTTATTATTTTCACTTGATCTCTCTTCCAATTCCCAGAACACCTTTCTTGCAAATTCCTCCCCTCCCAGAAAAGGTATTCCTAAAATCTTGATAACTTTAGCTTCCATATCCACTATTTTTTCCAGATCAATATTCCTTTCTACTTTCCTCTGTCAATGCTTGCCTCAGCAATCTCTTCCCCTTCTGCAAACTCTTTGACTAAATTTTCCTTAACCTCTTCCAACCTCTTACTCCTTGGTAAAGCTTCTTCTTGATTTCCTGAGGTTAGTTCCAAATCCTTATTGTTCACATCTCCGCCCAAAGAATTCGAACCATTGTTGTTTTTCACCAAATTCTGTGTTCTAGATTTGGTTCTTATTGTAAATCCTCTTGAATTTACTGCAAGGGTCATTACCAACAAGACCTTCCTTCAACCAGTGAAAAACTTTGGTGACATGCACCAACTGATCATTAAACACTTGTGCAGTGTAACAACGTCCAAGCCCCTCAATTCTTCTTCCTCAGACAAAATCACATGATCCATAAACCTTGTATCTTCTACTCTTTCCTTCTCCATTCTCAAGATTTGACAAAACCATCTCTGAAGCATGAATGCAGGACACGTTTTCCAAGTCACCTTCTTTTGCTATATCTCCTACTGCCTTAGCAGACTCCAAACACCCCTTTGACACCCAGCCTTCACTGGAAAAATATTGTAGATCGACTGCTTCTTCAACTACTGAGATCTGGACACCTGCTACTGCTTTATTACCTTCCTTTACCTCATCTAACTGAGAAAATAAAGGTTTCTCTGTATCCATCACTGAATAAGCTCCTGGAAGGCTTTGTAGTATTCTTGTAGATGAATAGATATCTTGTGTGATTAGTGTATTTGTGAAGATTTATGTTTTTTGATAGTAAAACAAAAGGAAAATTTCATTAAAGAAAAATGAAGATATTCCATAGATAGTAGGGGTGTCAATGGACCAGGTTTTGATTGGACTCTTCAAATCAAAATCAATTTGAATAGATTGGATGGACCAATAAGACATATTGGATTGGACCAGTCTAGACTTAATGGTCCAATTTATTTATTGGATTGGATTGGGCGTGGTCCATTTGTTATGGATTTTTATTGGACTGGGTTGGATTGAATCAATGTCTGGTTCATTAACATAAGATAAGAGTACGGGTGTCAATGGACCAGGTTTGGGTTGGATCCAATCTAAATAAGACCAATTTGAACAATTTGGATGGTCCAGACATTGAATTGGACCAGTCCAGAATGGTCCGAAGTATCCATGGATTGGATTGGACCTGGTCCATCTATAATGGATGCATACTGGACCAATATCCGGTCCATTGACAGCCCTAATATAGTGTTTCAAGTTTGGTTCTCTGTGATACATGTTTGATATTTCTTGAGGAAGACACCTTTTCTTTGTAGGTACCATGGAAAAAGCAAAACACTGATGTATGATGTTACAAAATTAATTTCTATGCTGAAGTCAAAGCGTGGAGATCATCGCCTATTCAGATTGGCTGAAAATTTATGCATGAATCTTATTTTGTCATTGCGGGATTTTTTCTTGGTGAAAAAGGATTTGAAGGTGAAAATAGCAAAGGTTCTCTGAACTGCAAAACTCTGTTGTAATTGAAGTACATGAAATAATTCTATTTCTTTTGCAGGGCCCAAGTGAATTTACAGAAACGTTGAATAGGGTAACCATAATAAATCTTGCCATTACCGTTAAGACTCGTGGTATTGCTGAGGTTGAGCACATGGTTTTCTTTCAACCCGTTTTGGATCAAATAATGGGAGCTAGTCAACACATGTGGTCAGAAAAGACTTTACGCTTTTTTCCTCCTCTTCTACGTGATGCCTTAATGGGTCGGATGGATAAAAGAGGCCAGACAATTCAAACATGGCAACAGGTTTGTATTTATGGCTTAGCTTTTCAAATACATCCTGTAGATGCATTTTGTTCTCTTTTTTCTTTCTTCTTCTAGTGGAATTGAAAATTTTTCTGATTCTTTGGGTACACAAGGAAGAAAGTCGACTAAACTTATCTCTAGTTACTGTATAGGCTTTGGCTTTAATTTTCACTTAAAAATTGGAACCTTTTTTCGGTGATAAGGAAGAGTTAAGATGGGAACATGCTTATTGATTGGCATACAAAACATATGCACAACCCTTCCCTGGGGGTGGGGGCATACACAGAAAGAAGGTTGATAGATAAAATATCACATTTTCATTAAATCAAAGGCAAATTACATGAACAGTTCCTTGGAAAGGCATGAGGTGCCCGACTCCCCAAACAGAAAACACATAAGCTACAACAAAAAGTACACGACTGCTGATACAAAATTACAGTTGATGAGTTGAGTCAGAATAATGTTTCCCTATTTGTCCCTTGTTTTGCCAAGACATCAGCAAATGCATTAGCTGATCTCCCCACCCACTGTATTGTTACAGACATATTCCTTGTCAGCCATTTGAATTTCTTTAGCTCATTCTTGTTACACCGCCCGACATCCTCCGGATTATATAACTGTTCCACCACTACCTTGGAGTCCCCTTCAATGAGCAGCTGCTCCACACCCAATTCCTTTGCAAGAAATACTCCTTGTATTATCAAATTTTCTAACTTCTTTGCTTCCCTAGGCAGTATCCTAGTAAGTAGGTAGCCTTGTGAGGGTTGCTCTTATCAAAGTGATCCTCCCTCCTAGAGATACAATTCTTCTTCCACAAGGCTAATCTCTTCTCAAACTTCTCTATGATTGGAACCCAGAACCTACTCTCCCTAGGGTTTGCCCCTAACGGAAGCCCTAAATAGGATGTAGGCTAAAAGGACCTAGAACACTCAAGACAATTGCAACAACTTCAATCTCCTCAATCTCCACATTGATTCCCGCTATGCGGCTCTTTTCTAAATTGATTTTCCAATTGGAAATTCCTTCAAAGGCTCTAATTATCTCCTTTATGGTCTGTTTGGTTGCTGAGAAAGGATGGGATGGGATGAGAAAGGATGTGATGAGAAGGGAATTTTTTTTCTCAATCCTGTCACCTGTGTTTGGTTGCTGAGACCAGTTATCCTGTCAAATCTGTTTCCCAGTGTTTGATTGCTGAGAAATTTTTGCAGGATTGTTGGATTCATCCCACTTTGATGTGTCCATGCATTCTCCAATTCCACATCACAAGACTTGTTTTGTGGATGATGTGGCACAATAGTATTTGAACCTTTCTCTGTCCAAGACTCTTAACCCTCTAGTTTTTTCTTTTGTTTTCCCATTCTGAACTGGTTTAAAGAATGAAGGCCTTTCATATTGGATTTAAGATCTTGCAGTATTCCAAGAGGGGGGAAGCATTTTCAAGAAAAAAAAATGCAGAATAAGAAAAGAAAATTGAAGGAGTCTAAGAACCATAATGAATTATATATTCTACCCAAAAAAAGATAAATAAAGGGAGTCGAAGAATCATTTGAAACAACCTACAAAAATAAATACAGAAACATGTTCAGGGTATGAAGTTACATGCATTAACAAAGTAAGAATCAACAGAAAAGAAAGAAAAAAAACTGTTGTAACCTTCAGTAAGAAAAAACGAATGGAGATACAGAGTAAGAATCAACAGAAAAAAAATCTGTTGTAACCTTCAGTAGGAAAAAACGAATGGAGATAGGGTATGCGGTACCTCAACCTAGAAATCCCCTTGGCTTGCCTGAGATGATCTGAAGCAGAGCAAGAATACAACCAACACAAATAAATGCCAAAGCAATCAAAAAATAAAAAAATCAATCACAAAAAGAAGTAGAAAAACTAAAGCTAGAATCAACATAACAAAATACGGGAATCAAGATAACAAAGTGCTGGAAGCCAGAAGCCAGAAAAATGGTAGAAAAACAGCAGCCAGAATCAAGACAACAAGTCGGTAGAGGCTGGAACGTTTTGGTACAAGGAAAACACCAGAATCAAGATAACAACCTTGAACCACAGTACAGGTGTTTTCTGGAAATGGAGATTGGCTTGGACGAACTGGGATAGAGGTAGAGGACGGTGAGGTTCGAATGGGAACTCATTCAATGAAAGGAGATAAAAATGGTATAAAAGTGAGGAAATCACGAGAGGATTGCAAATCTGAGCTTACCTTCGAAAGAAGTCGCCGGAGATGGTGCCGATGAGAAGACCGTTGGACGGCATGAGAGAGGAAGATGACGCTCGGAATAGCGCTCTCGACAAAACTTTCTCACTGAGAGCTCATTGTTTCCCTTTCTCAATGGGGCCACACCAACATAAATCCTTTTGGGAACTTGCATCTCATACCTTTCTCATCACATCCCATTTTTTCTTTAAAACAAACACAAGAAAATGAGAATATTCCTTCAAGATACTTCCCATCCCATCTACTTTCAACAACCAAACAGACTGTTAGGTTTCCTACCTTCTTACTACCTTCCCAGAAAATAAAAAAATCATCTACAAATTGAAGATGAGTAACTAGATCTTGGGTTTTGCCTATTCTCCATCCCCTTATAACATCTTACCTATCAGCCCTACTGATGATTTGAATGAACACATCAGCTATCTAGGTAAAAAGAAAAGGTGAAAGTGGATCCCCTTGTCTAATACCCATATAGGCTGGAAAAAATCCATTACCACCACATTTCCACAAAACCTCTATTAAAAATTGCCAACCCACCAAGTCATAAGCTTTCTCAAGATCCAACTTACATACAAAGTCCCTTTGCCTAGATCTCTTCATCCCCTCTACACATTCATTGGCAATCAGGATCTGATAAGCTTTTTGTTATCCTTGAATGAAGGCCCCTTGGAAGAAAGAACCTTGGCCAGAATTTTTTAAGTACTTGTCACCAAACTAATTGGCCTGAGTTCTTTAGGATGGATAGCATCAGGTCTCTTTGGGATTAGAACCAAGAAAGTAGCTTTGATGCCACGACTGACCATGTGCTTATTTGCAAACTGCTTAAAGACATCACACAGATCATTTTAGCACCTCCAAGCAATCTTGGTAAATCTATCCATTAAGAACATTGCCTTTCTAATCTTTTCTTCCTAAAAATTCCTTTCCAACCACCTAATCTTCTCTTCATCCAATCTTGGCCAATCTACCCCTTCCATTTCTAACCTTTCATTTAGAAATCTTCTAAAATCGATTTAAAGTGGTCCACAAACTTCCTGGCAATATCATCCTAATTTGTGAACACCTCCTCTCCTACCTCTAGCTTAGACACAAAATTCTCTCTTCCTTCCATTTGCCACATCATGAAAGAATTTAATATTTCCATCACCTTCCTTATCCACCAATCCACCAGTGTCTTGGTTTCTGCCTCAACTTCTTCTCTTAGTAGTACTTCTTCTAGGTCCATCTTCAATTGTCTCCTTAGATCTCTATCATCCTCAGACAAGCCAGTTTGAGATTCATTCTCATCCAACTCTTCTATCCTAGAGATTAAGCTCACTTTTTTCTCCTCAATTCTTCCAAAATGGTCCATATTCCACTCTTTTATTTTGGATCTTAACATCTGTAGTTTCTTGTGAAATCTTACACCTTTCCACTTTATCTCCCTCAATCCCTCATTCCACCAAATATTTACGCTATTCATGAGGTTTGGGTGGGTTAGCCACATGTTCTCAAACCTAAACGGTCTAGGTCCACTAGTAAAATCTTCCAAACATATTCTTATAGGACAGTGATTCGAGGTTACCCTAGGCAAAGCTATAGACACCAGGTTTCCCCAATAATTTTCCCAGTTTAAGTTAAAGATAAACCTATCCAACTTTGACCATAAAGAGGCTTCCTGTAGGTTAGACCAAGTGAATCTAGCTTGTAAAAGTGGAATTTCCTTTAACTCACAATCCACAATAAAGTTGTTAAACTTCCTCATGCTAGTTGTAATGGACTGTTGGGGATTACTAATTTCTTTAGAAAATCGTATAACATTGAAATCCCCTCCCAAACACCACGGGCCTTCCCATAAACCCTAAATTGCATATAAATAATTTTTTTTGAGAAATGTTAACCAAAAATTGCATATAAATCATCCCACATATCATTCCTTTCTCTATAGTTATTGGGACCATACATTACTAGTTAACACCTAGGTGAAATCATCCTCTACATTCTTGAATTTGATGGAAACTGAAGCTCCCCAAGATGGGGCTGAGACCAACTTACTCCTCTAGACCTCCATATGCTCCTCAGCCATCTTCTATGCAATTCCAGCAATTTTATTTCTTGTAGTAATACAATGTCAGGCTTTTCCCTTCTGAGTAGATCCTTAATCACCCTCCTAGTCCTCTCACATTCCAGTTAACTATTCTCATAGGCACGGATCAGAAGAGAGGAGAAAAATAGTCCTTGAGAAATCGTGCCTCTGACATAATGAATAATGCGATGGACAACAATCATATTAGGCTGACAAAGAGCAGAAACAAATTGACCGACAACTTGAACAACATATGGGGTATCAGGCTGAGTCATAGTGAGATAGATGAGGGATCCCACAAGCTGGTGATACAATGCGGCATCTGGAAGTAATGAACTATCAGATTTAGATAGCTTAACATTCAGCTCCAAGGAAGTATTAACATATTTCTCATCAGTGATGTCAATAAGACAAACAAGAGCAGAAGCGTATTTTTGTTGACAAACAAAATATCCTCAATCACTGCAATGAACTTCTAACCTCAAGAAGTAGGTAAGAGGTCCAAGGTCCTTCATGTAGAAGGAATGATGAAGTAAGGACTTCAGTTCATGATCATTTCCGGTTAGAAACATATCATCAACATACAACAGAAGAATGGTAATACCTTGAGGCCACCGTTTAACAAACAAGGAGTGATGAGTGATCAGAAGAGCTTTGGTTATATCCTGCCATGACTACAACATCCCGGAAGCACTTAAACCAAGCCTGTGAAGCTTGTTTGAAACCATATAGAGATTTCTTCAAGTGACACACCAAGGAAGGATCACTAAAGTAACCAGGAGGTGTTTTATAAACAATCTCCTTCAGCTGACCATAAAGGAAGGCATTCTAAACATCTAGCTGGTAAATGGTCCATGATTGGATAGCGGATAATGATAAGAGAACATGAACTGTGGTGATCTTAGCTAATAGAGCAAAAGTTTCTTCATAATCAATTCCATGCTCTTGACTACAACCTTGGACAACCAAGAGTGCCTTATACCGATCAAGGGATCCATTAGATTTTAGCTTGATGGTGTAAACCCAACGGTTTCCAACGATGGTAACATTTGAAGAGTAGGCACGAGATCCCAAGTGTCAATTCTCATGAATAGCCTTAATCTTGACATCCATGGCTTCTCTTCAATGAGGACTCCTAATGGCTTGTTGGTGAGATCAAGAGATGTTTGTGGAGGATAAAATAACAAAAAAAGAACTATGGCTTGCAAAGAAACCAAAGCAGTCAGGAGGCCAAGAAATATGAGTAGAACGACGAAGAGGAATAGAAGAATCAGCGGGTGGAACAAAGGTATCTAAGGAAGAAATATCACTTACAGGGAGATTGGGAGGTTGATGTGCTGAATTGGCAGGAGGAGGGGGGGGCAGAGATGTAGGGTCTGGAAGACGTAACGTTTGCTAGTGAAGACAAGATCCTTCCCAATAGATGAGGGAGGAACATCCTCTGAATCAAAATTTTGCAAAACAGAGATAAAAGGAGCAAACAATCGATCAATTCTAGCAAATAAAGAAATATGCTCAAGAAACATAACATTTCATGAAATCCATATATAATGAATAGTAGGATCATAATTCATAACATAAGAAGCCCTTGTGATCGAGACTGTATCCATTAAAGGCACACATAACATATTGCATAGTTAATTTAGTACGTTCACAAGAAGGGAGATGCACAAAGCACACAGCCAAAAGCATACAAATTAGACAAGTCAGGAAGACAACCAAAGAGCTTAAAAAATGGAGATGCATTAGCAAGGATAGAGGAAGGAAGATGGTTGATTAAATACACAGCTGTACTGGTTGCCTATGTCCAAAAGGTCGAGAATGGGATTCTTGTGGAAGTGTCTTCACAAAAGTAAGGGCATGACCATTTTTGCATTCTGCTATACCATTTTGTCGAGGAGTGTCTAGACAACTATGTTGAGACTACATGTCATAACTCCTCAAAAAGCCTGAAAGTCTCCATCATTATATTTTTGAAGGGGAAATCCATCTTATGGATGGCCGAACCATGCTAGATAGTTGGGCGGAATTTCAAAAATTTTCTTTTACCCTCTCAGGGATCATATTCTCAGTTTTAGAAAATCTGTTTTTCTAGGATTGTTCTTGCACCAAAACCGGACCAGATTTGAAACCAGCTTCCACTGAAGATGGCGCAGCTTGAATTGAAGCCGGTTCAGCAACACAGTTTTCAACAAAACTGTGATCCAACACCTTGGATCGAGCAAAGGTGGCAAGCACGAATTGAATCTGATATTTTCTTGCAAAAATCATAAATCAGAATTGATCTTTATCAGTTCAAGAACTGGAGGTTGAACTAGGGTTTTTGGGCAGCAAGAGCAAGAGAGAACTGAGACCAGATTGATAACTGGAGCAATTCGCCCTCCTCCTTTTGTAAGCCTTAAGGATCAGCACTCTTAATCGAATTAAGAGGATCCTAATCCAAATCTTTATTTGGATTTGGACTCTTTTAAGTGGATAAGACTTATCCTTTTATCCTAATTGCTGACAAGGTTTAAAATGTCGATGTCGATGGAAATGTCACTTACCAATATATAGGACATATGTTGGAAATGTTGGAAATGTCGAGGGGAAATATTGTAAAAATTAGAGACATTGTGGAAATATAATGAAATATGTGGAAATATGCAATGATATTTTGTAAAATGATAAAAGAAGCACTAATACATATTTCTAGACTATTATCTTATTCCCAACCATTATATAAAGCTAAGAAA